TGTTGTCTCACGACTGCAAGCAGTGAGTTAGTCACTGCTAACTCACTGCTTGCAGTCGTGAGACAGCATTAGGTAGCTTTGGGTTGTCATGAATCACATAATAGTAGTAGATGGTGATGTCTGTAACTTATTTCTGCTCTAGGAAAATGACTCAGAGATGTATTATCGGAAACACCCAAAATAAATATCCCAACAACGGCAAAGAAAAAAACGGCTATGAGGAAAAGGAATACGCCTAATTATTACATTATTAGTTCGCAATAAATCGCTGCAAGGAAGATTGAATTGTCAAAAAGGACAACAAACATACCAATGGTCTATAGGTATAGCTTCCGGAATATCAATGGTCACCACATGTTTTAAACTCCATTGACCTTCTTCAATGTCGGTAGATGTAAATAAATAAATATAAATAAATATAAATATTTAAATATAAATAAATATAAATTATGTGAGAGAAAAAGAGAGTAATGCTATATTAAAAATGAAGAAAATATTAAATATGCTTAAAATTTATTAATTTTTATAAGAAGGCTACAGAGAGAGAGAGAGAAAGAGAGAGAACAATGGACATAATAGAAAAGGGATCTGGGGAGGCATCCCGTATCCACACAATCCCGTAGAACATAAAATTATTTTGATGTCAAAATGATATCATTTTGACATCAATGTCATGAAATTGTCATGAACATTGTTTGACGGCAAAATAATATTACTTTTATATTATTTTACATTATTTTAACTTTTGTATGACTTCCTAGACAGCATAAAATATTTATAAAATATTTACAAAATATTTATAAGATTTATTTGAATATATTTTATAAATATTTACCAAAATATTTTATAAAAATTTTTATAACTTTAGCTTCAATATATATATATATATATATATATATATATATATATATAGATCATAAATATTTATCATTAATATTATAAAAATATTTATTAAAATACATTTATACATTTATATACTTTTTTCTCTTTTCTAAACTTTTCTTAAATTTTTAAAATATATATGTTTTTAGTTTTCACTTTATATTGTTTCATACGTTACTTATTCAAGTTAAATTTTATTTTGAAAATTTGCTTACCATTGTCGAGATTTGAGAACCTGTCCAGGTAGCAAAGTGACGTCTAAAGACGTCACCTTGCTACCTGGGTGAGACTTTTGGGTAGCGGTCATGAATCTTTCAAGTAAACTTTATTTTCATTTTTCACTTTTCACTGTAAGTTATTTCACATGAAAAGTAAACAATGAAAATGTGGAAAGCAATATTTATGTAATATAGATTATTAAAATTAAAATGTAATTACAGCCCAGATAGCCAAACTTGCGCGAGCAGATTTCGAGCAGAGCTTGTTATCAACTTTTGATGGCAAATAAATAACACATTTGATGCAGGATCTGTTATATCAAATCTTGCTGCCAAATTGCCGCCAGATATGCGGCAGAGCTTGTTGTCGGATAATTGCTGCAGATTTGCAGCAAAAACCGCGCAGAGCTTGTAACGATTTGACGGCAGATTGGCGGCAGGAACCGCGCAGACCTTGCTGCGCTGCATGCTTTGCGCGGTTTTTGCTGCAAATTTGGCACCAATTGCCCGACAGCAAGATCTGTCGCCAAAACCGTAGCCTAATGTAGACACAGATGGCTATGGTTTTGCTGTGAGTTTTTGATCAAATTTGCTGCCAATCTGCGCGCAGTCTGCGCTCAATTTGCTTACTGGGAGTATACACAATGTAATATATAACACATTAATAAGCATTATATAACTTAAATTTATAATTATAATATAATATAATAATACAATATGAGTAAATTTAATAAATAAGACAAACGTTAACCGTGGAAGGTAAATTCTCAAAACGTGAAATATTTCACGTGAACTTTCAGTTTGTTCGTATATATTCTTTTTTACATGTAAATTATGTAAGTCCCTTATAGAAATATCATACTAAGAATCATTGATAATTACTTATTATCCAGTATTTTTAATACTGGAAATAAGTAATTATCAATGATTCTTAGTATAATATTTCTATAAGGGGGTTCCATGAAAATTTTTAAGCATCAAGCGAAATAGTTTAAATGTGAAAAATAATGTAATACTACATTCGCATATTATGTACAAAGTGAGTAGAATTTCTTATAGTGACTTTAATTTTTATGGTTATACGACAATTGGCATTTGACATAAGAATCCTACGCCCATTAAAAATGAACAACGAAAGCCAATTGAAGCGTGATGACATATAGGCAGTGAAAATATACCGACGAAGTTTGTAAAGTTAAGATACGTATGCATCAGAAAGTTAAAGTGTAATATATATTATAAATTGTATGCAATAAGTAAAATGTAAGTTTATTTTATGTATTTATTTCATATATTTTATGTATTATTTTATATGAAATATATATTTTTTGCAGATTTATAATTTTAATATGAATAGAATATTTTATCTTTTAATAATTTATCCTAAAGTAATTCCAGACAAGTAGACTTCCATGAAAATACTGGATAATAAGTAATTATCAATGATTCTTAGTATGATATTTCTATAAGGGACTTACACAATTTACATGTAAAAAAGAATATATACGACGTTCTAAAGACATCACTATGTCTTAAAAACATGCTGAAAAAATTATAAAGATGTCCATTGCAAATTGGTGTTGTCTTGAGTACATTGTAATATTTGTTTTACTTACAAATTCACGTTAAATTTTTCATTTTTCACGAGTTTAGTGAAGGTTTTCATCTTCCACGAGTTCATTACAAAATTTTTTCTTTTCACGAGTTCACACTAGGTGAAAAGATTCATGATCACTACCCAGGTTCTTGAATCATTCATCTTACCTATTGCGTCACTATCACTTTGACTGAGAGACGCTTTATATTGTATACATATGTATACATTGTATATGTATACATGTACGAATACAAATGATTTATTTAAAAGAAGAAAATAGAAATGTTTTAAATGCAAAATGTATGTTTGAAAAGTATGTAAAAAGTATATTTAAAAAATATTTACTTGTTTCAAAAGTAAATAAAATACAAATAAATCATTTTATAAATTTAAATAAATTGTTTTCTGATAATAAAAGAAACTTTAATTTGAAACACAAAAAAGATACTTTTAATATTAGAAAATAATTTATTTAGATTTATAAAATGATTTACTTGTACTTTATTTACTTTTCAAACAAGAAAATATTTATTTAAACATAGTTTTTACATAAAAAAACCAATTTTCTTCTTGTAAGGAAGTCGTTTTTTTTCTAGAAATTTATAATTTTACAGCTTATTTCACAAATTTAAAAAAATATTACTTTATATTTATTACATATTTTAAAAAATCTAACAAATACTTTTTTAAGTTAAGAAATTATATTTAACAAAATATATTTCTTTTATTTAAAGAATTTTTTTAGTATACATTATCATTTAAATTTCGATTTTATTATTTTTTCATTAATTTAATAATTATAAATAATTACATTTATTTGTTTATATATACTATTTATAGAAATATTTACAAAATATTACTACAAATATTTATTTTTTGTTTATTATAAATATTGTATAAAATAATTAGCCTATATTTTAATAATACTTTGAATAAAGATTTTTATACTTTCTTTTTTATAGAAATATTTATAAAATATTTATGTAATATTTAAATGTATAAAAAAATAATTCGACCTAAATGTTTATGAATCTTTATCATAAATATTGTGTGCTGTCTAGGTTTGTGTTCTACATGGGTAATCTTCTTCTCATTCTCTGCATTACATTATTCTGATGTTCCATAACTAATACTAACATACTAATACATTAAGCTTTCTATTGTACGGAATAACCTCGTTCTTTCCATTACTGCTTCTCGATTTTAGCTTTTCGCCATGAAATTTCGTGTCGAGTTCGTTCACGCGAATAATCTCGTATTTTTGCGAGGTGAGATTAATTGTAATCGGGCGAGTTGTTCACTTTTGTCATTTTCACCCAATCAAAGAACCGTAATAAGCTCCCTGCATAAATAAGTTTAGGGTGCGTTCAGATTCCTCATCCGGGTGCATTTTATTACTAAAAACACTATATTATACGTTACATATAATATAGTATTTCTAGTATAAAGGCTCGTCTAATATGGTTGTAAGGCTGTAACGTGAGCTGTCAGCGAATGAAAATAATTCATTTCACATCTTACAACCTTACAGCCATATTCTTACAGAAATTGTAGACGAGCCTTTAGAATGCACTCAGAAAGAGAATCTGAACGCACCCTTAAGTTGCTTTTATTTTGGATATGTTCTAGGAGCACGCTACCAACGCTACTGCGTTCTTCTATTTTTATCGCTCCTTAGGGTGCGTTCAGATTCCCTACCCGGGTGCACTCTGTTACTAAAAACACTATAGTATATGTCACATATACTATAGCACTTCTTGTATTAGAGTGCACCCGGGTAAGGAATCTGAACGCAGCCTAGATAAACAACAAGGCCTGTGTTCCGAAATGCATTGCCAGTACTGAAAATCTATAGTTCGTGTTACGTATATTATAGGATTTCAGTACTGGCAGTGAATTTCACACCACGTCCAATGTCTGACGTACGACGTCCAATATCCAATAGGAGAACAGCTTTCTAATAGAGAATTCAATTCTCCATTGGAAAGCTATTCTTTTATTGGATATCGGACGTCGGACATCGGACGCGATGTGAATCCTGCATAATAGCGAACTCTCCGAACGTACCTTTTGATAGGAATATATTTTTAGATCTAAAGATATACACCAATCAGATGCAAGAAATTATTGAGAACTCAAAGGGCGGTTACAATATTGAACGCACCAATCAGGATTCAGTACTTGTTCGCCATTATGCACGATACGCGCATCCTTAGCTGCTTGTGCCGTGCATGGCGATTGGCTATTTTTCAACAAGCAACCGCCGATGAAATGACGGTGACCAATCAGGAAGAACGTTGCATCATCTGAGGATACAATGGTGTCTAGGCCATTTTCGTTGGATTCCCGTTCCGCGTAAGCAGTCGCGTTCGCGTGTTTCTACGGATAACTTCGAGCACGATAGTGACATTACGAGACGTGACTGTGTCGCAAGATTTTTCAAGTGAAATAATTGTACGTGATTAATTCGAAGTGCTATTGCGTTGAAGCCGCGACTCCTGCAACGAGAAACGACGTAATATCGGGCGACGTTTTTTGGGACGTTGACGACGTTGACGGTAACGGCGACAACGGCAGATCCAGATGCCTTCTAGACATTGCTACGATCGTTTGTGTATCGTTCGCGTACGAAAACTGTGATAAATCGCGCAATGTGTCTGGCCGTTATATACTTTCAATTGTGAGAGAGCGGCGAATAAACGAGAGAGAGAGAGAGGGAGAGAGAGTGGGCGAGTGAGTGAGTGAGTGAGTGAGTGAGAGGGAGTGAGTGAGTGAGTGAGAAAGAAAGAGAGAGAGAGGGAGAGAGAGAGAGTGTACGAGGGCGAAGGAGAGCGACCGAGCGAGTAAACGAGCAAGCAAGAAAGAAGAGGATTGCAAGCGAGATCGATAAGTGTTTCTCTTCATACGGATGCCGTGTAACCGAGTTCGTGTATAGGTAAGTGTCTTTTTCCATAACCACGAAGATAATATTACATAAATGCCTGTAGCGCTAATTCATCTGTTCCGCTGCGATTTTTCCATTCGCGACGAATATCGGTCGATCTCAGACGAATCTTAGCTTCGCGCAAATACATGAATGTCGTCACTTTCGCCCTAGATTACACTTCGGCGTGGCGAAAGTGTGCTTTTTCGTTTAAGACCGTCACCTCGAATTCGCGACGTTGCGTTTTACCGCAACACCGAACACGATAATATTTGTGCACTTGGCGTTAAATTGCTGATGATTTTCCTCATTATTGGTGAGTCATCGAGTAAGATGCTGTTTATTTTGTCTCCGTACGCACAAATATTTCAACAGATTACGTAGAATTCGTTGGCATATACGTTTCTTTGAATAATTATCCTACGAGAGATATATTTTACTTATAAGTAGCAAAAATCAGTATTGTCGGATTATCGTGGAAACATTAGTTTTCACTTAAAAAGAAAAATTTTTCGTCGTATTTAATACGTTACGTATCGGCCTAATTTTATGTAACTTGTCCACGCCGCATGGCATAGAACGCATTTATCGAAACATTTCAACTTTTCAAAGAATATTTCGTCCCGTTACTTTGAATACGTAGAAATACATTACTGACGCATTGGGGACCTAAAAAGGGTGTATGTCAATTGTAGATGGAAATTTTCTACCTGAAAAGGACCGTTAGGAAAGTTTAGAAACAAGTTTTTTTTACTCTTTAGGTGAGTCATGGTTAGATATCTTTCTGTGTCTGCCATTAAAAAGCCATTAGGCTTTTTAGAATCTTAGAAACAATAAAAGAAAATAGAAAATCCGTAATAGTAAAAGGAATTGTAGATGGAAATTTTCTACCTAAAAAGGACCGTAGCAAATTACTTTCGGTTTTCTACCTGACTTTGAAAAAAAAAAAAAAACTCACGAAGGTGGGTTATTTATTGTTTTGACTCTTAGCTTTTTTAAATTTTAAATAAATACCTTCTGTTTGGAAAGAACTGTTTAAAAAAAAAAGGTTTTAGTTTTGATACTCACTGCTTAATATTGTAAAAAAAAGCCATTAGAAATTTTTAGAAATGAGTTTTTTATGTGTCATAGCTATTCGTCACTTGTTCGTCTGCAAAAAACGTTTTAGAAAATAAATTTTCTATCTGATTTCGAAGATACGGCCGTTAGAAAAAACTATCCAGCGTGCTATTGAGATTTGGTTGTCAATGAGCTTTACGTGGACGATAACTGTAATCGACGATAGGTTGCAACGAATGTTATATGAATATCGCGCGGTATAGTTCACACTCGTGTGTAAGCAAAAGAAGCTAATAGTTACGAGAGATCTGTTTATTTCGCTGATATATGAATTATTTTCTTAATTTTGCATAAGTCAGCTATTCTTCGCTTGCCATTCTTTTTAAATCGAAAAGACAGAGAAATATTTTTATTATATAATACGAGCATATTTTTCTTTTGTGTTACAGTTATAGTCTGAATTCTTGTCTTTTACCAAGATCAGTTTATTGGCGGTGATTCATCAAAATGACATCGACAAAATCTAAGGAAATCGCGGATGAGTATATCTCATCTTTATCTGATCTTACGATCAACAGTAAACCTCTTATTAACATGCTTACTATGTTGGCGGAAGATAATATTGACCATGCGCCAGCAATAGTGCAAGCTGTTGAAACTCACCTGCAAAAGGTAATTTATTCTTTATAGATATTATTGATCTTTTATACATCTAATAATGTACTTTTAACTATACTTTGGCATATGCTTATTATTATAATTACATAAATTTAGATCTATTTATCTGAATAGAATAACAGTTTTTCGGAAACATAAATAAGATACAATGTGATTTTTATATACACATGCACATATATATATACATACACACACTAACATATTCTTGAAGAATGTGATAATGTATATTCTGTTAATGTATAATATACATTTTTGTATGTAAGATGTCTGAAAATTATTGTATTTCTCCTCAGCCATTTATTTTTTTGCAATTTTTTAAATAAGTTTTTACAAAAGAATTTTTATTATTTGTTATACTATTTTAATTTTTTATTCCATTGTGGCAATTAATCCACCGATAAGGTATGTTCAAATAAAATATATTTGCTATTAATAGAAAAAAAATATATTTTACCATTTAAATCATAGATATAATTGACTTGTGTGTGTGTGTGTGTGTGTGTGTGTGTGTGTGTTATATGATTTACATGGTTTATATTATAAATTTAATTTAGTAACATTTTAATTTTTCACATTTTAAACATCTATATGACTAGACTTCTTGTCAAGTTAAAAAATCGACTTCAAATTTGGAAATTCATGTATAATTGGAGAGAAATATAATATTTATATAAAAATATAATAATTCTCTAAAATATTAAATATATGTATTTTAATTTAATAAAAGTTCTTTTAATTGAGTAATTCGTGAATTTATATTCTTTGCATGTAATAAATTCAAACAGTAAAATTAAACAGTAAAATAACTTATTATATTCTATCAGGTGAGAAGCGATATCAAGTTGCCTGTCCTATATCTCATCGACTCGATTGTCAAGAACGTGAATGGAGATTACCTGAATCTTTTCACACAAAATATAGTGAACACGTTTTGTGGAGTATTCGAAAAGGTAATATATTTTTTAGAGTTCCTATAAGATTATCAAAGATCATCTTTCCTCACGGGTTGTGTCATTGACCGGGAGTAACCTTTAATTTCTATCTATACATAGTACTATACATAGTACAATAAGAACTCAACATACCTATAAATTCAACTATACCTCTGATCTCTCAGAGGTGCTTCATACAGAAAGATTTCATAGTACATACAGAGTTGGCTGGTACTTAATATTTCATGGTGATGTAAGATAATTGTTTGATCAATATAGCATCATTGACCTCGCGTCTTCTCTGAAAGGCTTCATATACTGTGTATTGAGTTTGCTAGTTCTTTATTTTAGCTGACATCTCGAATTCAGTTATACGAAATTATAATGAAATTTGAATAAGAACAATTATTAACAGGTTTTTATCAAATACATAGCAAAATTCCAGAAATATAGAAAATACTCTTGAATTATGAAAAAATTTACCCTGTATAAAGCACTTGAATTATGAAAGAATTTGTCCTGTATAATTATATTTTATAATAATAAGCCTTTAAGGTTCTTATTATTATAAAATAAAATGTCCAATGTTATTTCCAGGTGGACGAGAATACAAGAGCTAGCATGTGGAAGTTGCGGCAAACTTGGAACGACGTATTTCCACCAAAAAAGTTATTTTCATTAGATGTGCGAGTACAAAGTATTGATCCTGCATGGCCAATCACTGCCCCTTCTAGTGGTATTTCTTCCGGATCCATTCACGTTAATCCACGATTTCTTTCAATGGTAAATTTAATGCACGTTTGATGAGAATGCATTTCTTTTTCGTGATAGCATGATCTAAAAGAGTATTAATATTCTCAGCCTCAACAAGCCGCAACATCGATCGTACAACCGATTGTGCCACCTGTTAAATTACCACCGGGAGAGCCAGTAACAACAACGGAAGCAGTCATGCGTGAGCAACTGCTGAAAAAGCAACGAGAGTTATTGGAGTTACAAAAGAAGAAAATTGAGTTGGAATTGTTGCAGGCGAAAGCAAGTTTAGAGCAACAACAGAGACAACTCGATAAGCAAGCTGGAAGCTTGAAGACAGAATCGGTAAGTTTATTATTAATACATGTAAATTCATATAAATAACAATTTTCACATATAGAGCTTTTTCTTTATATAATTTTGATCTTAATCATTATACTAGCCTGATATATTTAGAATGCCAGTTATTAGAAATAATGGTCCGATTTTTATGAAAAATATTAGAGTCGCTAACAGTATTAGTGTTCTTTCGCATTTAATATTTAAAATAGTTGTAAAAATTGTATAGATGTAATGTTTAGGCTAAAATAGTGTAGGATATTTATTTTTTATACTTAGTGTTCACCGACACAATAGTATTTTTCGCGCGCAAAATAACGGCAAAAGCAAAATATATCAATATTAAAAACTCGTGTTATATATAGAGACAATCAAGTAGATTTTAATGTAACATCTACCATGTTAAGTTAAATGTATGTATCAGTTTCGAACTTATCATTATAATTAATATCATTATCATTAATATAACTTATCATTATCATTAATATATTGAAGTATCATTATCACTAATATATTGATCACAGTTTTATTATTAGTTCTAACGTATCATTGTTTTACAGTTTTCTTAAATAGACAATAATTTAATGTTTTTTATTATGATAGGTTACACCCACTACACAAGTTTCGTCAACTAAAGAGCTAACAGTGCAAGAGAAACCTGTTACACCCATAGTGCCAAATCAAACGACGAAACAAGTAGCAAAACAGGTAACATTTCCAATAAGTTGTTAATATTATGGAGGTAAGAAATAACAAGAGGGAAGATATTCTTCTCTTGGTCTGTCTAAGCAGACGTAAGAGGAGAACAGTAAGCGCCATATTGGTGTAGTCTACCAAAGCGCGACAATAAAGTACAAAACGTCATATTACTGTAGCCAACCAATCACATGGTATATTTACCCTCACTACCTAAAAAGCTTTACACTCCCTCCTGTTATTTCTTACCTCCGTGGCTAATATCAATGTCTCACAGAGACTGTGACGATTAAATACTGGTAACTGTTTTATTTGTTCCGTTAGTTCCCCGCGGCAGCTGCGTCACTTTTAAAGAATGCAGGAGCAAACACCGGGCCACGAATTGCACCAGCTAGTAGTATAGCAGTAGCGTCGGCTAAGCCAGTATCACGAGATCCACGTTTGAAATCCACTCCTGTTCAGGATGTGGCAGTGCCAACTGTAGATCCTCGGCAACGCGTGGGTACGACCAGTCCGAAGGAATCGCGGGGTGAAGGTCTAACGCAGTCAGCGCCAAATATAAATAATGTACTTTCAAACCAATTAAAACAGCAGTTACTTTCGAAACCGGCTGTAACTAGCACTACCAACAAGCCTTCGCCAAATCTCGCTGGCTCCGATGCCCCGGCGATAAACAATAATAATAATAATGGTAATACGAACGTGAATAATAATAAAAATTTCAGTGGTAATGCAAATAAAGATGCTGTCTCGCATCGAACAAGTCAAAAGAAAGACCCTCGATTGTCTAGTAATAGTAGCGGTATCCTAAACGGTAATAGTTCCAAAAACACCCAAAGTCTATCGGTTGGTAGTAATAGCTCACCGTCAGCAGGATTGTCAGCGAGCAATAGAGGAAGTGGAGGCAGCGACTCCAAATCGAAAGACTCGAAGAGTTCGAAAGACTCACGCGGCTCTTCGTCGTCTTCGACAGCCGACAAATCTTCCACTTCCTCGAAATCCTCGCATAGGAAAGTAGGTAACAAGTCGCGATCCAAGCCGCCACAGTCGAATGCAAGTAAGAATACAAAACTCGATAGAGATTCGAGTCCGATTAGGTCCAAATCTCGCGAGAAAGACAGCGGAGACAATTCACCGTCATCCTCACGTACCTCCCCGCAATCATCCTCCTTCCAAGCCTCTAAAAACCGCAAGAAGAACACGAAATCCCGCAAGCGTAGTCCAAGTCCTCCGTACAGAATTCCCAGGCGGAACGATGCGAAATCGAGTTCAAGTTTGAACAGTTCCGGCGGTGTTACCGAGGAGGAGCAATCTGGTTCGCTTATAGTATCTCCTCCTCATCCACCCACGTTCAAAGAAATCAGACCGAATACTAGACAGAGAAATTATGTAAGGCGAAATAAAGACGGCAGTCTTAGTCCGGAACATTCTCCAGCCAGTGCTGGAAATGCTCAGACCGCTACCGAACCGACATTGGAATCGTCTAGCAAAGACGAGGATCTCAGAGCGCCGCTGTCACTCCCTGGTACCGCTGTTTCCGTACAAAGTAAGTCAACAGCATATTTAACAACATATAATTTATATGTAATATCGTGTAACATTATACGTAAGAATCTATTATCATTCATATAATAATTTAATCGTGCATGCAAGAGTACCGATCAATTTTCACATGTGCTTTCTTTAGTTTACTGCTAAAGATTCCGTCTTAAATATTTTTTCATAAAGGTGACTACAATGTTTACATCGTCTCTGGTAGCAATTGTAAGACTGTAACAGGTGAACTCTTAAAAAAAAATATCTATCTTTTTGTACAAACTTCTCTCTTTTTCTATTTCTCTTGCTCATAAATGTATAATTTTGCTGATTCTGAAAATCTGTTAATGTGAATTTCCTTATTAGGAAAGTTTTCTAAGAATATAATTTTAAAGTGTAATTAGAAATATATAATCAAACGGTAATATTAAGCTAATATGTTCCTTTAGTACAGCTCATTTTTTCTTTTACAGAAGAGGATTTAGATCTACGAGTGTTACCATCTGTTAGCACCAACAAGAGGTCAAGTACTGAGCACCCAGAGGCAACTACCTCTAAGAAAATGAAGACTGAAAAATTCGATGCGTAAGTATACATTTAGTGTACAGAATTTCCCAAATCTGGGTTGCATTCCAAAACGTTCTTTTTGAGGAAAATTTTACTCAATAACTATAGTTTACATTACATATACTATAGAGTATCGAGTGAAATTTCCTCAAAAAGGACGTTTTGGAACCCTGGTGAATCATAAATTTAAGTAACTTTTTAATTAATTCACTTCGTTTTATCTTTGCAGTTTATTCGGAAATGAGGATGTGGACTTACGCACTTTAACACATCCTAAGGCCTGTCGACCTCGGACACCTCCGCCGCCCGTAATTTCTGGGGAGGATGGGAAAGACGGCTGGGCGAAGTTAAAAACACCAACAAAGAATGAAAGAGATAAGCAAGCCAACAATACCGACGACAAACGTGAGAGAGATCGTAACAGAGACCGATTGGGACGTCTTCGACTCTACAACAAGCTTCCGGAGGACTCAAAAGAAAGAAGAAGAACTTTGTCGAACGAAGAACAGGATACCAGACCAACACGTAGAAGCCGAGACAATGATAAACCTGAGAGAAACGAAGACAGGAACATTGAAATAATAATGAAGCAGGCAGCTGAACAGCTGAACCAAGGATCGATCACCAAGACGCAATACAACACTTTGATACAGGAAGTGTTGCACATGAGCGAAGACCGAAAATTGCGGGCCGCTCAACGCAAGGAAAAGGAGAGTGGCACTATAGTATGGGAGAAGAGCGTCAATATGGACATTTCTGGACCTGGAGATCGCGCCGCAATGCATCAACGAAAATCCATTAGTCCGTCTAACGACAAAGAGGTAATACGAAACAAGGAACACCCTATGCCGCGAAATCCAAACGGTCCCAGGTGGCAAAATCAACCTTGGCAGCAACCATGGGCGCATCCACCGGGACCACCATACGGCGGGCCACAAGGACACTTCAATTCAGACATAAGACCAGTCGTTCCTTGGCAAAATCCAAGACATTTTGGACCAATGAGACCGGATTATCCTTATCACGGCTTCAATCACAATATGGGGCCCAGTCCACGCTTAAGTATGATGGGCCCGATAGGCCCCAACGGTCCGATCATGTCGAATCTTCTGTCAAATGGTCCGATCGTGCCAATGGGAATGGCGAATCCTCCCATGTCGATAGGATGTCATCCCGCGATGATGATGAACAACGGACCGATGAGCAATCTCATGGCGAATCCAAACATACCACCTTTATCGTCTGGTAGAAACGTGTCGCCGAACACTGCATCCAAGTATGATCTCGAGGACAACGATCAAAATTACGGCAACACGGTGATGAAGAATCAAGGACCGCATAGTCGTGAATTGCCGACGCCAGATCCGAAGTTGCTAGCTGAGATTTCGAGGGACACTATGAAGTCTATTAATATCGATAATATACCACGAGAGATTCGTTATTACGGGCAAACGGGTGTAGTTTTCATGAATTGGGATGATCCACGGGAGATTGGTTTCCAAGATGGAATAAGAAGAATATTAATTGACGAAAAGGACACCATAACTTGCGCGTTCAACGATCAGTACAAGGAGTTTATATACGAAGGAGAGGTTCACAGGTATGAATATATCATTACACGTCTATCATGCATATGTACATATCGATATAACTTAAACCGAGATATGAAACATCTCGACACTCGAGATATAACACAGAATTTTTATCTTTTTCAGAATCAAACTTGGTGCGCCCACTCGGGAATTGTATATCGACGATCGCTGGTACGAGTGTTACTTCGGCGGTATGGCGATAACGATTGAACTTAGTGGCAAGAAGGTCAGTGTGAAGCTGGAAGGCCCACCACCTCAAGTCAAGATCGGCACGGTGAAGAGAACGGATCTAGTAGTCGCCAAAATTAATCTCATCATCAACGCACGAAATATGGTGCCAGTTTTCTTGGACGCGAAGCCGCAGATGTGAGTATATATATACTTATTCTCACCGTATGAATCATTAAAACTTACATATCTTATAATTATGCATTTTATTTTTCGCTTTTGCAGATTTGAAATTGAAGGAAAGCCTCATACACTGGAATTTACAGACGCATTGCTAACAGTTCTGCTAAATGGACGGCCATTCAAAGTTGAATTTGGAGGATTACCAAAACCTATTATCGTCAGAGACAAGAAACATTTTATTAGATTCTCGGTGTTGCCAAGAGGTGTACGCGCTGGTTATGTTAAGATCACCGGAATGAGAGGCGAAGGCCCTATCGACTCGCCACCGACTACACCTTTGCCGGCTCTGAAACTTAAAGTAGATTCTACTCCCACTCTGAGTCAATTACCCATCATAGAACATGAGTCCACATCGCAAGATGGTTCGGATCGTACATCTCCTCCGAAGCCAGGTAAGAATGAATATTCCATTTTTATTACGACATTCCTGATTCCTCTGATTGTAACCATATTGAATTACGATGTTAAGAACGAAAAATCATAATTATAAATCATAATTATAATCATAAATTTTCTTTGCAATTATTAAGAACATTAGTATCAAATTTGATTCTGTTGAATGCAACCTGACTGGTTTGTATTTGTATATTAAATATATGTGCTTAATTTTACAGACTTACAATTGGATATGCTATCATCGGTTCTACCATCAGCAATGGCTCCATCATCCGGTTTATCTTACCAAGCAGAACCCGCAGAGAATCCATCCGTATCAGCAGCGCCAGCATTATCACTTAGCATGAGCGAATTGTTCCAAAGACTCGTCGAAACTGGTATTATCGTTCCAAATCTTACAGAACAAAAGAAACCAGAAGAAGAAGAAAAGAAAGAACCTGAGATTACTCCTATTACCTTCGATAAGCCAGAGACTCTCAAAATGTAAGTAATTAAAATATATATGATTCAATGTATCAGCACTCCAGATAAAATCGGATTTTGAATATTAAAATGTTGATCTCTTTTTGCAGCAAACAACCGGCTATATCCACAGCGCTATACAGCGGTATGCAATGTAGTTCTTGTGGTGCGAGATTCGCTCCTGAATTAGCTACTCGATACAGTCACCACTTAGATTGGCACTTCAGGCAGAATAGGCGTGAACGTGATTCCGCGCGAAAAGCACATTCTCGGCCATGGTATTATTATGTTAGCGACTGGACACAATTTGAAGAAATGGAAGATTTTGAGGATAGAGGTACGTGCTTTTCCCTTCAGCTGAATATAGATATGCAATTTTAAGACATTTTTTAGAATTTTAATTTTTCGTCTGTTGCTTTCTCGAAAAGACTGAATTTACTATATGATCGATCATATTATCTGAATTATGTAAAACATCAATATTTCTCTACTATTTCCTTGTTTATCTTCTTTAGCGCAAAGTTGGTTCGAGACTGAGAAACAAACGGCAGAGACGGAAGGTGTAGCTAGCGATGATTCGCCTCAGGAAATGTTGCAACCCAGCGTGCCAACTGGCAGCGACGAGGATTCACGGTGTCAAGTATGCCATGATGCATTTGAGCAATTTTATAATGAAGAAAAGGAAGAGTGGCATTTAAGACCGGCAGTTAATTATGAAGAAAAGAATTACCATCCACTCTGCTTGGAAGATTATAAGGTAGGTTTCCCTCTCCTAGTCAATAAGTATATTTTAATTTTATTTATTGCAGTGATTTCTTTCAATAAAATTCTGGTAAAAAAAAACTCTATGTTTGTCCATATTGATCATATAAAAAGTTAATGATAAAATTTTGCATTACATCTGAAGTTTTGCGATACTACTATGTGAAAATAAACTGAAACTTCATAAACTTATTGATTAGATACTTAGAATTAAGGATCTCATATTTTGTGTGTAATGCGTGTAATCTGTATTTCATCCTTATTACTCTTCCGGAAAGTTAGAAAGAAACCACTGTGCATTAGCGTTATATCTTATTAACGAAACTTCCATTTGTTACATTCTTGCAAAAATAGGAAAAAAGTCTAGCGGTATGTGATTCTCAATAATTCATATTCATGGCACATATCACCTCTTATAACATTTCTATTGCTTGTAGTAATAGTGCAAATGTAGAATAAGTAATTACCACATTCGCACATGTCTCTGTTTTCACAAAATTATTTAAAACAAACCTGTCCAATTTCATCAAGCGAAGAAATTTTCAACAACACTTATATACTATAATACACTTATGTAATACACTTATATACTATAATACACTTATGTTAATATAATATTATACTCCGTGTTTGTGTATTACATACACATGCACATAACACATCTACACATAGGGCATGCTCTTTTATTTTTTATCGACAATGGAAAAGCGTTTAGGTGCCAAGATATAAGCAGGATTAATTTAATATATACAAAAGATACATTATTTTACTTGATCTTCCACGTACATTAATATCTCTCTAGCGTAAATATGCAGGCACAAGATCAACATTTAAAATTTTGTCTGAAAAAAATATTTGAACGTTTTTAATGAATTTCATTTATATTCATATTTCATTCTATAATTGTTGCTACCTACATTAACTGCAGACTGGATGACGAATATAGTTGTAGTTGACATTAATATTGATATTGTCCTTTTGTTGATCAATAAACTAATTTGCTATATTAAAACTTTAGAGGGTATTGGAAAAGTCAACCTTGGGACTCGAGGAAACAGTTATGGAAACCGAAGAGAGTAGTAAAAAAGAATATTCCGAGGAAACAGCAGCCAAAGAGGAATCTAAACAAGAAGAATCCGAAACAGAAACATCGAATAAAGAATTCATATCTATGGAAACGTCGCATCAAATAGAAGAGAATTCTACGGAAACTACTGAATTGAGAAATAAAGAAGAATCTTTGAACGCTGAGAATTCGGAAATTACGCAAGATAATACCGAAGAAATAGAAAAAGCGACGGAAGAAATCAACAATGATTCGAACACAGATGCAGAGAACACTGAGCAAACGTCTGACGCACCTGTGACGAATGAAGAGGAAAAATCTCAGGACGAAAATTCAATATCGTTCGATAATATTAAAATTAAAGAAGAACCAATGGATGATATTAATGAACAGCCCGAAAGCGAATTATTCGAATTTGCTAACGTAGAAATTAAAGAAGAGCCTATGGATCCTGATACAGGTATGTATAGTTACCTTTTTTGCTACAAAAGAAAACTTATATTTTATAAAAGAACATTATATAATATAAAAATAAACGATTTTAAATATATCTCTTATATATCTCTATCCCACAGATATAGATGGTACCATTATAAATGGACCAGCCACAGTGGATACAACTTACGTAGCGGTGAAGAGTTCCATCGACGGAAATGTGGAATTAGATTCGACACCAGCAACTATTCCCGCGGCACCGCCGCGAATCAAAATCAATATCACCAAGCCACTGAGCACTAATAAGGAGTCGGAAGAGAAGGAAAAAGTGGTGGCACCTGAGACGCCGGTCGAAGAAAACGCGAAGCCTTTGGTGCCAGCTTCTATTAAACCGAGTTTACGCGGCAGGAAACTATCAAATTTGCCGCCCGTGGAAAAAGGACAAGAACTGTCGGGACTCTGTAGTATAATGTAAATATATGTAAGTATGTGTATATAAAATTTAAAATACGCCTCTGTGAAAAGCAAAAAATGTATTAAAAAGATTTATATACTTTTAAGACATAATATTAAAAGTTAATTTGTATATCGCATAGTTTTATGCTTGTACGACATGATAATATATTTAGTAACGAAAAAATTGCAACATTCGCTCGCATAAGATTCACAACGCATTCAGTATTCAATAAAAAAAATTATAAGATTCTTGTGAATATGTATGTGTCGTAAAATTGACCGAAACAACTACATCCTTTCTGCAAGTGTGTTGACTGTGTTTGTAAAAAATGTTTCTACTTTTTACTTAATATATTAATCTCTATACTTTCTTTTTTTTTTTTCATACAGTGGGGATTCTCTCCCGTTTCGACAAATGCATACACAAAATTTCGCTTACAATTTTCTTCTACTTAAATGAGTTAGAATCTTTCATGCGTACTGTCATGTCGTATAAGTTAAAAATATGTGAAATATGCATGATGCGTGCAAATATAAACGTATCATGTAATAGCGCAAAAAAGCATACTTGTATATAGATAATATAATATAAAAAGATATGATATTGTAGCATTCCGAATATTGTATGTTTACTTGTTTTTAGTTGCACTTTCTGTATTTCAAATATTACATATATGTGTATATATCGATCTATACTTGTCAATACATACACGTATGTATAGATATACATATATGTATACGCACATATGTACGATGATTTATATAGATATTGAAAAAACGAGACTTTCAGAAGATGCAACTGAAAAAAAAGAATTTATCGAATGCAGTCATTTTTCTTGGGGACATTTGTTGCAAGTTCTGTAATGAAGCATACAGTGTCCGGCTCGGCAATTCTTTAAGAGTTACATACATATATACATTTGTACTTGTATAAAATGCAACCAATAACGCGATTAATGTCCGATGCGTTCGTATGTAGAGATTACGCGATTCATTTAAAGGTGTACAAATTATGTGATATATATATATATATATATATATATATATATATATATATATATATATATATATATACACAAACACACATACACATATAGCTGTCTATTTGTAACTTGTAGATATTATATTAGCGAAAAAACAATGACGATTAAGATGTTGATTAAGAAATCTACTGCAATTAGATGAGCATTATTTTGTTGTATAAAAGACTTGTTTACTATAAGTTCGACTTTCTTTCAATTGACACCTTTCTACGAAACCCTTTTGGTATTTATAGCTGTAGTGCTATTTAGGGGATGGATTTGTATCCATAAATAAGAATACTTGGAACAATAAAGACATCAATGAAAAGTTATTTTTATCTTTTATGATTGATATTCTGTCAATGCTCTAGTATTAACTGCTATTATTTTATCACAATAAAAAGAGAAAAGACAGTAGAGCGTAAATATAAATATTGTTTCGTTCTTATCATATTTTTTAAATATATTTTCGCAGTTATAAGTATACATTTGTTATAAGTACAATTCTTCTTAATTGACTTTTCTCTTCGTATTGTGATTTTATATTAATCTTAGTTATTTTGTCTAATTATAATAGTTAGTATTACATGTAATTCTCTTCTTTAATATTCAATAAAGAGTTATCGTTATAGAATTATTTGTTATAGTATAATTTTACCCGAAACCAATAGTCTCTTCAGTAATTTAGATAATTTTGATGTTTTATCATATGTTAAAATATATAGAATTAAGAATTAGAATCGAAAAATATTTCATTTTTCAAATAAACAAGTATATACTAATAAAAATTTGAATAAAAGTAGAAAAGAGAAGAGTTAATATTACCCATGAAAATGGGAGATACTTTTGATAAAACGATTTTTTTAAAGCAATTTCATCATTCCCTACAATTGTGTCATGTTATACGTGTAGTATATTCATTTTGAGTAATTATTTTGAGAAAGGTGTGCATACACATATGTACATTTTCTCTAAAGTAGCATAAAAACTTCTGAAAATTCGTCACATTGTCTTTTTATCTGAAAAAAAAAAAAATTTTTCAATTTGCTGTGTATATTAGTATACACAGCCATATTTTTGTTGGAGGGGTGAATTAAATAACATCACAGACCTGAAATCTTTATTCATAGACTGCAATTATGAGGCCATCTGGGGAAAGGCATAGTGTCCTTAATATTTTGGATCCCCAGAACACATTGTAAAAATCTTTCGAATCCCATTCCAAAACCGCCCGTCGGTACGTTTCCGTATTTACGTAAATCTAAATACCATGAAAGATTCCCCGTGGTAGGTAGTTTTAGCTTTAATTTCTCATAATCATCTTCGCGAATACTGCCTCCTACCAATTCTCCCACATCTGGTGCCAGAAGATCCAGTGCTGCTACCTTTTAAGAAAATGATAAATATATTTATTTAAAATATACATACGAGAGATACTTTGATATTTATATATTTCTTTTTTCTCAAATACTGACTCACCTTAGATGGATCATCTATACACTCTTTCATATAAAAAGGCTTATTGTTTCTTGGCCAATTTATGACAAAGATTGGTACTCCACCGTTATATTGTACTAAAAATAATTCATGTTTTTTTGAGAATACCTCTCCATATTTGATAGGGTCATCTAATTGATTTGCATGGTCAGTTAGCACATTAAATGCTTCATCATACATTAAACATCCAAATCTCTTATTCAACCATTGTGGTTCAGGAACACCCATTGATTGCCAATCTGAGGCTCCCTTCTCAATCATTTGTTTAGTAACTTCTTTTACTAAGAGCTCAATTTCTTCTGTCAACTCTTCAACACTTGTAACAAAAGCTACTTCTGTCTCTAACATATAAAATTCTGATAAATGTAATCTTGATTTGCTATTTTCTGCCCTGAATGTAGGCCCAAAAGTATACACTCTTGTGAGAGCTCTGAAAAAGTTTTAGAGATACATTTTGTATCCAACAATTTGACCCAACAATGTAAGGAATATTACTAATCTTATGTATGAGAAGTTAATCACCTTGCTACCGTTTCTAAATGCAACTGTCCAGAAACAGTAAGATAAGTAATTTTATCAAAATAAATCTCATCTTTGGACTGGCCTTCCTTTTTCATGCTTTTAAGGATCTCTTCAGAGTATGCATTGACTGAAAACACTTCTCCCGCACCTTCACAATCATTAGATGTCAATATTGGTGTGTGTATATTTATAAATCCCCTATTTCTTAAATGATCACCAATTACAGCAGTAGCAAGATCGCGCAATCTCAATAAACTGCCAAAGTTTCGTGTTCTTGGTCTTAAGTGCAAATACTGTCTGATATATTCTTGATCGTACTTTTTTCTTGGAGCAAAAGGATATTGATCCTCCAGAACATTGCACGTGCCTATCACGCGAATATCAACTGCACGTAGCTCAGTTTTACCATTAGGAGCTAGAGATAGTTCTCCTTCTGCACTGATGCTACTTCCATAAGTCAAATTTGCAATTTTAAGGGATTTTGGTATAACAACTTGTAACATTTCACAAGTCGATCCGTCGGAAATGTCAACAAAGACATAATCCTTCATCTTTCTCAGTGTACGTACCCATCCCTAATTACAGAGACCAAAACTTGTAAGTAGATTAATCTGATAGAGGCTATTGTGTGTAAGTTAAACGCAATGTCAAAAATTATGTTATTCATCTGAATGTAGTCAAACAATGTTTGAATAAGGAAGTCAAAGGGGTAAAGTTCTTTTTTTCTTAGAATATTGATAATATGCAAGATCCCGGATATCACAATCGCCCAAACGACGTCAAAGATATTCGAGAGATGTTATTAATGTTTCGGGTATCCTCTGGAAATCTATTATGCGTCTTTTGAGCTGCCGTATTGTCCGGAACGTAAAAAGTCTCATAATGGAGAGCATCTAACCTGTACTTTCGTACGTTTTCCAACCACTTCTTTCGACGTCACGTCTGAAATTGTCGAGCATTTGTGTATACCGCACTTAACGATGTCAATCTTAAAAGGATATAATCTCCTGACATATTTCGAGAGCATTTCTGAAGGCAGGTTACTCGTGACGACTTAATTAGTTCGAAAATCGTTTGGTTGCACAAAGAAATTCAAAATGGAGTCGTGCGTCGAGATTACGCGCGAGTAAAGGTGCGATTTCACGCAGCGAATAAAAGTTGACGTTTCACCTCACTCTATCAATTTTCACCGAAATGGCGAATGTAGCGAATAAACGCTCAAAGTTCGACACAGTCCAACTTTTAGCGAATAAAAGCTGGCGTTTACCACCACTTCATTAATTATCGCTAAAAAGACGAATGAAGCAGATAAACGCTCAAAGTTCGACACAGTTCAACTTCTAGCGTTTTAACTGGATCAAGTGATTGTAATTAATTAAGTGAATAAAATAGGCCATATAAACTTGGTGAAAAATTTTTCATCTATAATTATGTATGAAATTTGTCCATACATAATTATGTATAATCGTATAACATTATATATCATTATACACAATTATGTATAACAATATGTATAATTACATATAAATCTATGCGTAATTATGTAAAATTATATATGAATTTATATATATAATTATACATGATTATATGTATTAGTAGAAT